GAACCCAGGGCCTCAGGCATGCAAGGCAAGCACTCTACCACTGAGCCACCTTCCCAGCCCCCCACAACCTTCTTTTCAACAGGGCCAATCCTAGCCCTGTACAGATTTGGGAACTTTTAGAGGTGAGAAGTATGTACTCATCCCAATGGGGATATTGGCATTGACATTACTGCTAGGTGACAAAGGAATGACTGGTGTCATGCACAGTGCCTCCAAGATCAATTCTCTTGTCTATTAAGCATTTTTTCACATTTTTGAATTATTTTTATTTATTTTTAATTTTGGGAACTTCCTAAGAAAGGGGACACATGGGGAAGAAGAACATGTGGCTAGAAGGACAGGCCCTGGATCCAGTTGCCATTGTTCCCAACTCCAATAAAGAACCACTTGCATATTTCTTGGTCAATTATTTGTCCTCCTTGTGTCATTTCCTCATAAGTAAAATGAAGATAAACAGTTGGTATAAAAATAAAGAGTTTTAGTCGGGCAACAGTGGCTCACGCCTATAATCCTACCTACTCAGGAGGCTGAGATCTGAGGATCGCAGGGCAAAGCCAGCCCAGGCAGGAAAGTCTGTGAGATTCTTATCTCCAACAAACTACTAGAAAACTGGAAGTGGTGCTGTGGGCTTAAGCGGTAGAGCTCTCACCTTGAGCTGAAAAGTGTAAGGACAGTGCCCAGGCCCAGAGTTCAAGCCCCATAACCGACAAAAAAACAAAAACAAAAAGAAAAAAAGAGTTTTTGCTGGGTGCTGGTAGCTCATGCTTGTAATCCTAGCTACTCAGGAGGCTGAGTTCTGAGGATTGCTGTTCAAACACAGCTCAGGCTGGTAAGTCCATAAGACTTTTACTGTCAATTAACCACCTGGAAACCTGAAGTGGTGCTGTGGCTCAAAGTGGTAGAGCTCCACCTTGAGCAAAAGAGCTCAGGACAATACCCAGGCCTTGAGTTCAAGCCCCATAACTGACAAACATAAAAATAAATAAATAACCCAAATACCAGTGACTCGTACATATTAAGAGCTAGTGCTTCTCCCTGCCACAAGAGGATGCACAGCAGCATTCGTGGAGAATGAGTGGTGATGCTGTGGTGTATAAGTTCCTCAAACTCAACCTGAGTATTAAAACCCCTACAGGCTTTTCTTTTTTTTCTTTTTGGCCAGGGCCTAGGCACTGTCCTTGAGCCTCATTTGTTCGAGGCTAGCACTCTACCACTTGAGCCACAGTGTCACGTCCAGCTTTTTCTGTGTATGTGGTACTGAGGAATTGAACCCAGGGCTTCATGCATGCTAGGCAAGCACTCTACCACTGAGCCACCTTCCCAGTCCATGGCTTTTCATTTTAATGGAAGGAAGTTAGGCCACTTGCAGCAAAACTACAATGTTAGTGAACCACTGAGGTAACTCCTGTTTTGGTTAGGTCCACTCTACTGTTCACAGCATCCAGTTTGTATATTTGCAGAATCCATAGCTCAGATATTGGTGCTTCCACAAGATGTATACACAGGTGTTATAGCACCCCACTCTCATGTAAGGGTTCTCCACCCTTGCTGTGTCTGCATTTCTCAGACAGGAGATACTAAAATATCATTCTCTCCACTGGAACCTACCCTGGTAAGTGGAATGGGAAGTCTTTACTAGATGCTAACCTTGAGTGAAAAGCTCAGAGACAGCCCCCAGGCCCTGAGACACACACACACACACACACACACACACACACACGTTTGCTTCCTTGATTTTCATGACTGCATGGCCAATGTCAAGTGCATAGACCTATATAACCTCACAAGTAGCCTATTACACATTATCGTGCACATTATCTTTATTCTAAGAGTCTGTATCTAGTGTCATTTATGCAGAACATTAAAAACTCTGTCTTATATTAGGATCAAAGAAACTAGAGGGCAGAGTTAACATGAAAGAAGAAAAGTGAGCCAAAATTCATGTTTCCTCAAGGTCAACCTTAGGAAGTAGAGAATCAACCCCAATAACAAGGGATATAATTTAGAGGATCTGATGTTGTTCTGCTGCGAAGATTAAAAAAATTATTGTAAAGATCCTGTACAGAGAGGTTACAGTTACATGAGTAAGATAATGAGTACATTTCCTATCAAGCATTGTTATCCACTCCTTTGTTTTTCCCCTACTATCCCTTCTCTCCCTACCTCCCCAATTCCTCCCTCCCCCCTCAAGTTGTAAAGCTCACTTTCAGCATAGTGTCTTGGACATCTCATTGTTACAATGGGTCAACCTGTATCCTTGTTTCAGCATTTTGTTATTTCCCTTCTCCTCCCCAAATGAGGAAAATGTATATACTAGATGCAGGGCACCAGAATCAAATACAGTGAAAACAGGGTTTTCTGTGAAGATATTTGCATGAAGAGATCCTGGGTAGATTTGAAGCACTAAAAAAGACAATATTTTGGAATATTTGTAGAAAGAGTTTTCCCTCAAGATTTAATAGAGCAAAGAGTATTAATGACACTTTGATGCTAGGAAAATACCTTCCTGCCTTCCCATTATTCTCTGTGGAATTTATTCTTCAGGCAAACTGTTTCTTTTTTTTTGGTTCTGGTCATGGGGCCTGAACTCAGGGCCTGGGCGCTGTCCCTCAGCTCTTCAGCTCAGGGCTAGCGCTCTACCACTTGAGCCACAGAGCCACTTCCGGTTTTTTCCTTTTTGCTTATGTGGTGCTGAGGAATCGAACCCAGGGCCTCAGGCATACAAGGGAAGTGCTCTACCACTGAGCCACCTTCCCAGCCCAAGGCAAACTGTTTCAATGTATCATGTCACTGACCTCTCCAAAAATACTTGTAGAACTTCCCAAGGCTCCAACTTCTGCACCAGAGTCAAAGTGATCTGGAGTTAGTTTATGTATGAATCCCAAGTGATCATAGTATAATGTGAAAACTGGGTCATCAATGATTCCAATTCTAGTAAATACTTGTAGTCCTATTAGGAAATAAACAGAAGTCTCTTGATACTGACACAGTACAACTAGACAAAATTTCATAGCTTTTTTTTTTTCTTCCAGGGCTGAGGACTGAACCCAGGCCCTTGCGGGCACCGGGTGGGCGCCCTTCCACTGGGCTAAACCCCCAGCCCCTAGACAACATTTCATATCACTCCCTGTAACAATTTCTTCACTTATACTAAAGGGAAGCAGGAAAGAAAAAATACACTATCAATTCAGCTGGTGCCTTTGAAAAAAATGATTATTTTAATTAAATACTGAATTTTAGCAAATATTTTCTGTACTCACTGAGATGATCATAGGTGATAATAAGACACTGAAACCAGAGATATTGCAAAATATGTGTGTCTGGGAAATAAATTTTACATCCCAACATACACAAAATCAGAAGTTTTGCATAGACTTATAGAGGAAATCTAAAACAACCAGTCTGCTGGAATAAAACAAAATATATTCATAATGAACCTAGGCAAAGAATTCTTGAGCAGGATATACAAAGAAAGAACCACTGGGGGGTAGTGGTAGCTCACACCTGTAATCCTAGCTACTCAGGAGGTTGAGATCTGAGGATCACAGTTCAAAGCCACCCTGGGCAGGAAAGTCCATGAAATTCTTTTTTTTTTTTTTTAATTGTGAAAATACCATACATAGGGGTTACAATTACATGGGCAAGATAATGAGTACATTTTTTTTTTTTTTTTTTTTTTTGGGTCCGGTCATGGGGCCTGAACTCTGGGCTTGAGCACTGTCCCTAAGCTCTTCAGCTCAAGGCTAGTGCTCTACCACTTGAGCCACAGCGCCACTTCCGGCTTTTTTCTTTTTGCTTATGTGGTACTGAGGAATCGAACCCAGGGCCTCAGGCATGCAAGGCAAGCGCTCTACCACTGAGCCACCTTCCCAGCCCTACATGAAATTCTTATCTCCAATAAACTACTAGAAAAACCCAGAAGTGCTCTGTGGCTCAACATGGCAGAATGCTAGGCTTGAGCAGAAAAGCTCAGGGAGGGGCTGGGAAGGTGGCTCAGTGGTAGAGCGCTTGCCTTGCACGCCTGAGGCCCTGGGTTCAATTCCTCAGCACCACATAAGAAAAAACCCGGAAGTGGCGCTGTGGCTCAAGTGGTAGAGTGCTAGCCTTGAGCTGAAGAGCTGAGGGACAGCACCCAGGCCCAGAGTTCAAACCCCACAACCAGCAAAAAAAAAAAAAAAAGAAAAGCTCAGGGATAATGCCTAGGTCTTGAGTTCAAGCATCATAAGTGAAGAAAGAAAGAAAGTAAAAAAAAGAAAGAAAGAAAAAAAGAAGAGAAAGAAAGAGAAAAAGAGAAAGGAAGAAGAAAGAAAAAGAAAGAAAGGGAGGGAGGGAGGGAACAACTAATCATAAAAGAGGATTAAGTTGAACTTTTAGAAATTAGTATCTTTTTACTAGGAGAGAGCAAGGGAAAGAGTGACATTATCCAAAAAGAAATATACCCTTTACCTGACTTATGTAACTGTAACATCTTTGTATATCACCTCTGTAACAGAAATAAAAATTAAACTAAAAATTAATATCTTTTTGTTCAAATAATATTATGAAGAGAATAAAAGGTAAGCTTCTGATTAGAAGGTATTTTTATTTTTATTTATTATTATTATTTGTCAGTCGTAGGCCTGAACTCTGGGCCTTGGCGCTGTCCTCAGCTCTTCAGCTCAAGGCTAGCGCTCTACCACTTGAGCCACAGCCCCGCTTCCAGCTTTTCCTGCTTATGTGGTGCTGAGGAATCAAACCCAGGGCCTCATGCATGCAAGGCAAGCGCTCTACCACTGAGCTACCTTCCCAGCCCCTAGAAGGTATTTTTAAAGCATATATATATATATATATATATATATATATATATATATATATATATTCCAGTTGTGGAGCCTGAACTCTGGGCCTGGGTGTCCCTGAGTTCTTCAGCTCAAGGTTAGTGCTCTGCCACAGAGCCACTTCCAGCTTTTTCTGCTATGTGGTACTGAGGAATCGAACCCAGGGCCTTATGCATGCAAGGCAAGCACTCTACCACTGAGCCACTTTCCCAGCCCCTAAATGATATTTCTAACCAAGAACTTGTACCCATAATATATTAAAACCTCAAAGAAATCAATAAGAAAAGTCAATCCAACCACAATTTGGTTAAGAAGATCTAAAGGCAATTCACCACAAAGGAATATAAAAATAACCAATAGGGCTGGAGACATAGCTCAGCTAGTAGAGTGGAACTTGTGCAAGCAAGCTGAGTAAGCTAGAGACCTTAAGTTCAAATGCTGATACTTGCAAGGAAAGAGAGAGAGAGAGAGAGAGAGAGAGAGAGAGAGAGAGAGAGAGACAGACAGACAGACACAGACACAGACACAGACAGACAGAGACAAAAACAGATTGATTGATTGATTTTGAGTGCCTGTGGTTCACATCTGTAATTCTAACTTCTCAGGAGTCTGAGAGCTGGAGGATCTTGGTTCAAAGCAAATGCAACTAGAAAAGTCCATAAAATTCCACTTCCAAAACAACTAGCAGAAAGCAAAGCTGAAAGCATTGGCTCAAGGGGTGGAGTGTCAGTTGAGCAAGTACAGGCTCTGAGTACTGGCAAAAACAAAACAAAAACAACCTATGACAATGTGTTCAACTCTAATAACTCATGCAAATGAAACCTTTTTTTTGTTAGTTGTGGGGCTTGAACTCAGGGCCTGTCCCTGAGCTCTTTTGCTCATTGCTAGCACTCTACCACTTTGAGCCACAGCTCCACTTCCAGTTTTCTGGTGGTTGATTGGAAATAAGAGTCTCATGGCAAGCCAGGTACTGGTGGCTCAGGCCTGTAATCCTAGCTACTCAGGAGGCTCTATCTGAGGATCACAGCTCAAAGTCTGCAAGACTCTGATCTCCAATGAACCACCAGGAAACAACAACAACAACCCAGAAGTGGCACTGTGACTCAAAGTGGTAGAACACTCACCTTTAGTGCATAAAGCACAGGGAAAGCACCCATGCCCTGAATTCAGGCCCTATGACCAACTAAAAACCAAAAAACAAACAAAAACCCAAAAAAGAGTTTCATGGCCTTTTCTGCTCAGGCTGGCTTTGAACTGTGATCCTTGATCTCAGCCTCCTGAGTAGCTTGTATTACAGGTGTGAACCAAAAGCGTCTGGCTGCTAATAAAACTTTTAATGAAATACCATTATATACTCACCAAAATGGCTTACATCAAATAAAGTAACAATATTAAGTATTGACAAGAAGGGTGAGAAACTAGAACTTGTTCACACTGTAAGTACGAGACTAAATTGATACAATTAATCTAATAATGTTGGCAACCCTGAGATTCACAAATAAGACAGCAGCTGAGTGAAATTACTCTAATGACACAGCTTACTGAATGGTTATTCTACATCAAATGTCCTGCAGAACTGCCAAAGACATCAGGGATGCCACATTGTCTTGATTTCTCCTATATTTACAGGCTTGCTGGCAGGTGACAGTAGGTACAAATTCACCAACAACATGGCACAAGTAGAACCTGGTTAAAGAATCCATGAGCAGGGGCTGGGAAGGTGGCTCAGTGGTACAGTGCTTGACTCGCATACATGAGACCCAGGGTTCGACTCCTCAGCACCATATAAACAGAAAAAGCCGGATGTGGCTCTGTGGCTCAAGTGGTAGAGTGCTACCCTTGAGCTGAGGAGCTGAAGGACAGTGCTCAGGCCCAGAGTTCAAAGCTCACAATCAACAAAACAACAATAACAACAACAACAAGAATCCCTGTGCAGTAGAGATCTCTCGTCCAGTCAGGCTCGCCCTTTAGCAGAAACAGACAAGACTATACCAAACATACATCAAAGAAAACCTCACAAGGGGCTGGGAAGGTGGCTCTGTGGTAGAGTGCTTGCCTTGCATGCATGAGGCCCTGGGTTTGATTCCTCAGCACCACATAAGCAGAAAAAGCCGGATGTGGGGCTGATGCTCAAGTGGTAGAGTACTAGCCTTCAGCTGAAGAGCTGAGGGACAGTGCCCAGGCCTAGAGTTCAAGTCCTACAACCAACAAAAAAAAAAAAGAAAAAGAAAACCTCACAAGACAAAGGACGGAGGATCAGCCTAGCTCTGCCACCAATCACAGCTGTATCTAGGAAATCTTGGCACAGCACAGCAGTCTCTGATCTGGCACTGAATGGTACCATTCTATTTTTTTTTTTTTTTGGGTCTGGTCGTGAGGCCTGAACTCTGGGCCTGGGCGCTGTCTCTGAGCTCTTCAGCTCAAGGCTAGCACTCTACCACTTGAGCCACAGTGCCACTTCCGCCTTTTTTCATTTTGCTTATGTGGTGCTGAGGAATCAAACCCAGGGCCTCAGGCATGCAAGGCAAGCGCTCTACCACTGAGCCAACTTCCCAGCCCTGAATGGTACCATTCTAGAGAACAGCTACAACAGTTCTTTTCCCTTAGTGGAGTAAGGGGCTGAGCCCAGTGTCACAAACTCTGTGGCAAATGTTTAACTCCTGGGCCACCTCTCTGGTCCAGTGCTGAGAAAATGTACCACAACCTGGCCACTACCCAGAACTACCTAAGTGTTCTATTTCAACTGAAAGGATGTGCTATTAAAACCTCCAACCAAAAACCTGGCTTCAGGTACACAAATCCCAACATAGACACAACTAATACGAAAAAAACGAGGCAACATATCTACAGAAAAGTCAACAATTTTACAATAAAGGACTTGAATGTTAGTGTGTGAGTAAAATCTCAAACAAGGAATGCAAAAAACAATGATAAACATGATCATCACGATAAAGAGGACATGTATAAACAAATAAACAGATGAGTGATTTTGAAGAAAATCCAAACATGTATCTGATTGAAATAAGGGAGACAATGCAGGATATCAGAGAGAAGTTCAATAAAGATAGAGAAATCTTGAAAAAAAATCAAATTGACACTTTGGAAATAAACAGTTTAGTAATTCAAGTAAAAACTAATTTGAAAGCCTTGCTAATGTAATAAAACAAGTTGAAATTAGACTATCAGAGACTGCAGATATAGTAATTAGAAAAAGCAGACAAAGACAAAAAATATTAAGAAAATTAGAGTGAAACGCACAAGATCCCTGGGACAACACTAACAGACCAAATCTATGAATCATAGGAGAAGAAGAAGGGGAGGAGAAAGAGGAAGAACAAGAGGAGGGGGGAAGAAGAGGAGGAAGAGGAGGAAGAAGAGGAAGAGGAAGAAGGAAGAAGAAGAGGAAGGGAGAAGAAGAGGAGGAGGAAGAGGAGAAGAAGGAAGAGGAAGAAGGAAGAGGAAGAGAGGAGGAAGAGGAAGAATAAGAAGAAAGAAGAGGAAAAGAGGAAGAGGAGGAGGAGGAGGAGGAAGAGGTACAAGCTAAAGGCATGGATAACATTCAATAAAATAATAGTAGAGGGCCTGGGAATGTGGCTTAATGGTAGAGTGCTTGCTTAGCATGCATGAAGACGTCGTTTCAATTCCTCAACACCACATACACAGAAAAAGCCAGAAGTGGTGTTGTGGCTCAAGTGCTAGCTTTGAGCAAAAGAAACTCAAGGACAGTGCCCAGGCCCTGAGTTCAAGCCCTATGACTGGCAAAAAAACAAAAACAAAATAAAAAAAATTGGAGTTGAAAAGGGATATATCACATCAAATGCTCATGAAATCCAGAGGATCATTAAGAAATATTTTGAAAAAGTTGCATTCTTATAAACAAGAAAATAGGGGACATAGATAAATTTTTAGATGCTTTTGATTGTCCAGATTGATTTACTGCTTACTTCTTTTATTAATTTATTATTATTATTTTTTTGGGTCCGGTTGTGGGGCCTGAACTCTGGGCCTGGGCGCTGTCCCTCAGCTCTTCAGCTCAAGGCGAGTGCACTACCACTTGAGCTACAGCGCCACTTCCGGTTTTCTGGTGGTTTATTGGAGATAGGAGTCTCCTGCCTGGGCTGGCTTTGAACCTCGATCCTCAGATCTCAGCCTCTTGAGTAGCTAGGATTACAGGCATGAGCCACCAGCACCCAGCTTCCATGTCCTTTTCTTATTCCAAGCTAAAGAAATTCAACTGAGTGGAATTCAACTGGTGGCATGATTGAAGTGACAGTGCACCTGCTTTGCAAATGTGAGGCTTAGTTCAATCCCTAGTACCATTAAAGAAAGAGAAAAACTAAAAAAAAAAATTAAAAAGAAAAGGATAAAAGAAAGGGAGTGGGCAATGGTCAGTGAGGTTAACCATTATTTTCATTGTGTGAACAAAGAAGAGCTATTCCTACTACATGAATGAAATCACTAGATTGCCAAGTCAAGATGATGGAGAATAAATGATCCATCATACAACTTTATCTCATAGTTCTGTGTACTCGCTTAATATATTGTTGCATAGGCTTCAGCAAAGTGGTTGTGATACTAAAGAAGAAGCCATTGTATTATGCTGAGGACAACTGTAGCTTGCTGAGTGGTATCTATTATTATTGGTGTTGGGTCAGTAACACAGCATTGATGCTGTGAATGAGAACATAGCATGTGGATCTACAGTTTCTCTTCTTTATGGATGTTTGTAGAATCCGCTTTCTGTAGATCCTACAAATCTATCACTCTTAATAGGTGGGGACCTCAGGCCTGGATGATTAGAAAGGCATTTCCTTTTCATATACTTTTGATCTCTGGTCCACTTGGGGTGCTTTCAACAATAAAAGTAAATTTCTTACCTGCCTTTGTCAAGTAAATCCTTCTATTTATGGAAACCAAAACAATATCTGAAGTATAAAAGCTATGGTAAGTGTCTTTTATGACGCTATGGTAAAATGCACAGATTAGTTCAAATGTGTTGCCACCATCCATTGAAATCCAGACCTAAGGGAATAAAGAGATGGCACCTCACTGAAGAGTTGAGGTAAACAGTCAGCAATTACCTTTCTTCCTACATCAAAGGGGTCAGTCCTGTGGTGTGCACACATGTACAGGCCTCTTACCTCTAAGATCTACCTTCCATCTCCATCCTAGAGTCTGTGATAGTGGTTATGGCAGAGAATAGGGGGTGCACACTATGCACAGCAAATGTATAAAAGAACATTACTCCCATTGCCTCTCAAACGGAGTTTCCTTGTTCACAAAAGGAGGGAATGCTGGGTACAGGTATATATGCCATGGTTTTCTAGGTTCCCAACGGGGAAGCATAAGGGATTGATTTTTAAATCCTTTTACTTTCAGGAAGTGGTGCTATGGCTCAAGTGGTAGAGTGCTTGCATTGAATTGAAGAGTGCATAAGCAAAAAGAAAAAAGCCGGAAGTGGCGCTGTGGCTCAAGTGGTAGAGCGCTAGCCTTGAGCTGAAGAGCTGAGGGACAGCGCCCAGGTTTTTTTTTTTCCTTTCCATTCCCACATCACAGAGCTAGCATGAAGCTTAAATTGATGTGTGAGAGTGCTTTGTAAAGTGCTGTCCAGTGTGAGCTGGACAAATCCTTTATTCAAGGAAGCAGCACAGGGTCCTGTTCTTTTCACTTCCATGGGGTCCCTGCCATTCTTTCGCTCGGGACCTGCCTGCTAGGCGGGGCTGCCTACTTCAGTCCAATGGGAGCCAATGCAAGCTGGAGGGCTTAGTATTTCACTTTTCTTCTTCTCTGGCCCTATGTCCCACACAGAATAGGGGGCTGAGGTGATAGTAGAAGACTTCCGAGACCCCTCATTTCAAGACCCCTTATTTTGTTCGCTGGAAGACTGCTTTCTCTTGCTCGTAGGTCTCTTTGGATCCAGGTCGCAGGCGACGAATCTCAGTGACGGCGTCTCCTGCAGCCAAGCCCAGGTCCTTCACTAGGTAACAGGCTAGCATGGTGCCAGTGCGACCGAAGCCCAGGGCACAGTGCGCTCCCACGGCCTCGCAGGCCGCGCGTTGGCCTGGTCCACTTCTGCACGAAGCCGTCCATCTGGTGGGGGTCCGCGGACAGAAGTCGGGGACGCGCAGGCAGTGCTGGGTGAGCTTGGGGAACCAGTCTCCATGCTGTTGGGGGGGTGGCCATCTGCACGTGTGCGCCAGCAGGAACTGGGGGTGGGGAGACGCGGCAGTGCCAGCCCTGCCGGCCCGGCTGGCCCGGGAGCACCCAGGAGAAGTTGGGGGGCTGAGCACCCAGGAGAAATGGCTCGGGGAGGCGGGCGCTCCATTTGATTCTTTTTTAAAAAGTTTCTAATTTCTTTGCTGATATATTCATGTTGTTCATGTATCATTTTCTGGATTTTTTCTCAAGTTCTGTATGTTCTCTGTTAGGTCATTGAGCATCTGTATGAAATAATCTTGAATTATTTTCCAATAGGTCTGCACTTTTGTAGGGTTAATCTCGGAGGGATTTTTTTTTTTTTTGGGTCGGTCGTGGGGCTTGAACTCTGGGCCTGGGCGCTGTCCCTAAGCTCTTCAGCTCAAGGCTAGCGCTCTACCACTTGAGCCACAGCGCCACTTCCAGCTTTTTTCTTTTTGCTTATGTAGTGCTGGGGAATCGAACCCAGGGCCTCATGCATGCAAGGCAAGAGCTCTACCACTGAGCCACCTTCCCAGCCCTCGGAGGGATTTTTTTAGGGTTAATTTCTAAAGGATTTTATTGTCCTTTGATTGGACCATGTTTTACTCTTTTTTTTTTTTTTTTTGTATTCTTGTGATTTGTTGTTGAGTCTTCAAAGTGTTTGAAATAAATACTTTGGACTGGTTTCATAAAAACTTTTACCTCTCAGTTTTAGAGGTTCTAGGAACTCAAAACATTTTCTGAGGCTGTGGCCCCTCTTGCTTGAGCATGTTGCTTCAGAAGTCGTAGAATCTCTAAGCAATCTGTTATTTGTTCTTGGAAACCAGAGATCCTAATATGCAGCCCTTATCTGCCTCATCATCACCTCTGATTTCAGTGGTTACCAAACAAGGGCCAGTCAGCATGCTTAGTCAGGAGAGAAAAGTTCCAGTGCCTCAGGTATCCTCTGGACTCCACAGACTGTTGGTGTGTGGTCCACTCTATTATTTCTTGTCTTGGGAGAAAATCTCTGTTGTGGAAGATTTCCTCTCAGTTGTATTGCATTGAGTCAGATATTAGGAAAGGCACCAATAGGAGGAGAATAATAAAATTCAAAAGCAAAGGGAGGTTTGAAACAGTGTTTCAAGAAGACCTAGAAAAAGGTGCTACCGGGCTGGGAAGGTGGCTCAGTGGTAGAGCTCTTGCCTTGCATGCTCAAGGCCCTGGGTTCAATTCCTCAGCACCACATAAGCAAAAAGAAAAAAGCCGGAAGTGGTGCTGTGGCTCAAGTGGTAGAGTGCTAGCCTTGAGCTGAAGAGCTGAGGGACAGCGCCCAGGCCCAGAGTTCAGGCCCCACGACCGGACCCAAAAAAAAAAAAAAAAAAGAAAAAGGTGCTACCTTTACAAATCTCTCTGCATAGGATATTCTTTTTTTTTGGGGGGGGGGACACATGTTCAATTAGGAACAAATCAAGTGTTTCAACAAGGGTGAGAAAATTGAATTTGAAGAAACAAAGGGACAAGGTGTTTCATAACTGTTTGAACTATTTTTGTTTGGCCCCACTGCACAAATGTTTTGGATCAATTTAGGTTGCTCTGACTGGCTTTCCACACACTGGGTTATATATTATTGGTTGCTAGAGGCCATTGCAAGGGACATCAGTACACAGTATATCTTCTGAGACACCAAATCAGCAGAAGTCCCAGGATTGGAAAATGTTGAAACCTGAATTCTTGTAAGCACTTTTGTTTAAATCTAAACAGTGTTCTTCATTTCAGAGTTAAAGATGGTCCCTTGGAACTGAAAAGCCTTTTACCAAGCTTTCAAACCCATCCTGAATAGATTGATGGGGAGGCCCACAGATGGAGTATGCTACCGGAAGGAAGAACACCACAACCTTAGCTGAAGGGTGTGGTGGAGGATGTGGTAGTTTGCTCCTGAAATCCCAGTGCTGCGGAGGTGAAGGCAGAAGGTTCTGAGCTAGCCTGGGCTACATAGCCAGATTGTCTCAAAACTCGAAACTCAAAACAGAAAGAACAACATAACCAGAAAGTGGCAGACAAAATCAGATAAAGAAATGCCAATGGTAAATGCTAGAAATGCCAGATATACACATACTTTCTATAGGTTCATGGAGAAATCTCAATTATCCAAAGTTTCAAAGAAATGTATTATAAGTGGTCAAGTTCAGGAAAGCTTTGGTTAACCATGGCTCAGGAGAGGAGTAGAAAAATGAAAACTGACAGTAGGTACTAAGCATAGCACCTGGTAAGTAGTCAACAGTCAGTCTTTTTTCCTGCTTTTACCTCCTGGATCAGCTGAGTGGCTCTCTCCTTTATGCACAATCACTGAGCAGGGAGGAAGTACTAGACTTGGCCTCATACACCAGCGGAGGAAGGTTCATGGGAACATACCTGGTTTCCATAAACATAAAGAAAGTGGCTTCGGGGATGGAACACCATCCCAAGAGGGTTAGAGAATGAGGCGGGAAAGTGGAAAGGAGGAAATTTGGTTTGGAGACTTGGTTGTGAATCCTGCAGAACGTTCACAGTAACCATGGTACGTTTGGTAGCCTAGGAGAAAAATAAAACAAGCATAAAGTGTGATGAGTACTTTTCCATGATCACTATTACAATTTTTAGATGTTCCTGTCACTTGGATTTCACATAGCACTAAACGGAAGGATTAGTAAACTCTGATGTTTCTGTATTCTCCTTTCCTGCCTATTTGATAGATATTGAATAAAGTTCGGGAGACAAAATAATTGGCTCAAAGTTTTATAATAAATGGCACAGAGAGGTTTATTGTAGAGTCATTATTGAACTTTACAGACAGCCTGTAATGTCAACACATATAACTATGTGCTCAAAGTGTGAATGTCTGAGCCATATTCCATTCTAGGTAACCAAGGTCTTGAGACATACCACTTTGATGTAAAGATCATTTTAAGCTGAAACATTTGATTCAACTGAGGCAGAAAAGAAACGAAAAGAGGCAAAATTCTCAGAGCTTTCCTGATCTGACTAAAACCCAAGAACTTCTAGGAAGAGAAACTACCATCTGCTTCGTACCAGAATGGCTCTAACCCTAGAAATGAGAAAGCAAACAGTCCCTTCTCCAGCTAAATATTAAGGTTTTCAGGAAGGTACTTGCTTGGGCAAATATTTATCTTCCTGTCTCTCATTTGTGGGCCTGAAAACCTAGTTATCTGTTAAGAAGGAAGGAAAGAAGGAAATGGAAGGGAGGGAGGGAGGGAGGGAACGTAATTTGTTTCCCCCAAACAAATCAACCAGTTAAATTTCAAAAATGTTCATTCAATCCAGACACTGGTGGCTTATGCCTATAATCCTAGATACTCAGAGGCTGAGATCTAACAATCATAGTTCAAAGCCAGCCCAGGCAGGAAGTCCATGAGACTCTCATCTCCAGTTAAGCACCAGAAAACCAGAAGTGGAGATTTGGCTCAAAGTGGCAGAGCACTAGCCTTGAGCAAAAGCGCTCAGGGACAGTGGCCAGGTTCTAAATTCAAGTCCCATGACTAACAACAAAAAAGTTGATTCAACCTACAATTAACCTTAAACCAAAGTGATCCATTTTGGATATTATTTCTTTTCCTATCACCATTAAGGTCATCTCCCAAGTTTGTTTTTTTTTAAGTCATGAGGCCTGAACTCTGGGCTTGGGCGCTATCCCTCAGCTCTTCGGCTCAAGGCTAGTGCTCTACCTCTTGTGCCACAGCACCACTTCTAGCTTTTTCTGCTTATATGGTGCTGAGGAATTGAACTCAGGGCCTCATGCATCCAAGGCAAGCACTCTACCACTGAGCTATCTTCCCAGCCCCGATCTCCCAACTTTAACCACTATTATTATAGACTTTATCCCATAAAGATGCACAATGCCTATATAAATGCAAGGTTTTCTTTTCTCCTTCTACTCTTTTATTATTTTAATTTTCAAGGCCTTGTTATTGAAGACAAGTAAAAGATTTTCTCTTCTACAGTCTAAAGGGCAGGAACAGACTTAGGTATTTTCTTATGATGCTGAGAAGAATTCTACTTCATAACTCTTGTTAAAGACCTTTAGAATAGAAACTATAGCCCTGCAACAATGGGTTATTTTGTGTGTGCATGTGGGTTGCATGCCCATCTTTACTAGCCATGGAACCTGAAATTTATATGAAAAATGTTGAGCTTATGTCTTTCTGAAGAATTAGCAAAGCACAACCAGTATCACAGGGTTTTTTGTTTTTGTTTTTGAGTACTGAAAATTGATCTCAGGGCCCTATGCTTGCTTGGCAAGTATACTACCATTTGAGCCATACCGCCTTCTTACTTCCTTCTTACTTTAGGTTAGTTTTCAGGCAGGGTCTTGCATTTTTGTCCTGAATTGACTTCAGAACTGCAATCCTCCTAGCTATACTTCCCACACAGTTGTGATTAGAAATGGAAATCACTGTACCCAGCTTATTTGTTTTTTTTTTAATTTAATTTAATTTTATTTGTGAACATACTGTACAGAGGGGTTACAATTACATGGGCAGGATAATGCATACATTTCTTACCAAGCATTGCAGCCTCCTCCCCCAGCTTATTTGTTGAAGTGGAGTCTCCTTAAGTTTGTTGCTGGCCCTTGAACTGTGACCTTTCCAATTTGGGCCTCCCAACGTTTGATAATTGATATGACTTAACTTTGCCTGGGCTTGATTTTCACTTTTGTCAAACTAAATGACAATTAAAGGTAAGAAATTTCTTGTGTCAAATAATACTATTTATCAGAATATAATTTTGCGATTGCCAATTTTGATCAGGCTGTATTGCCAAACATAATGAGAATGTGAAAATACATTTGCAAGAATGATCACCTGTAGGTTATAAGACATACCGTATCACTGAAGAGGTAAATACCAGTATTTTGCTCTGGATCAACAAGAAATGTTATCACCTTTGGCAAAGATTTTACACTTTTGGAATTATATGGTATGCAAGGCATCCAATTAAGGAATGGTTCGTGACTATAAAAACAAGAGCTTGACTGCAAAAAAAGAGAGAAAGGACAAGTTAATTCTGTCTTTGAAATTTAAGTCCTAATTTGTTATCATAGGAAAATCATAAATCATTGAGATATCATGATGGTGACGAGGCATATTTTAAAAATCTTTACAGTCGTGACTTGCTTCTGGGGAAATCAGTCTAGGAAAAAACCCTGCAAAACATTGCCTTCTGGTCTTTATTGTCTGTGTGGAGATCTCAATTTATCATAATTAGAGCAACTGCCATTATACCTAAATAGAGACACCATTGGAAAAGCAGATCAGGAAACTTCTCAACAGATAGATTTGCCATGGTTGTCATTGTAGTTGTTGTTGTGCCAGTCCTGGGGATTGAACTCAGGGCCTGAGTGTCTTTTAAAATAATTTTTAAAGTTGTTATTATAAAGGTGATGTACAGAGGGTTTACAGTTTTATAAGTCAAGTAAAGAGTACCTTTTTTTTTTTTTTTGGACAATGTCATCTCTTCCTTCATTCTCTCCCAATTTTTCCTTCCCATCACCACCCATAAGTTGTATAGTTCATTTTCAACATGGTCTCTAGCGAGTACCACTGCTACATTTGTTTATCCTTTGTACCTCCATTTCTGTGCTTCCCCTTACTCCTCCAAAGACAGATAAATGAACAAACAAGATAAAAACAAAATAGCAACAAAGAAAAAAAAACCTCTTGTTTCCACTTCCTGGAGTTCATTTCGATAAATATTTTTATCATCAGATGCCCAGAGGCATTGTACCTCTGTGCTCCTCTCCTAAGAGCATCATACTTCAGTCTCACTGTGTGCAAAGGCCGAGAGACCTGTATCTTTATCATGTCCTGGTATATTCTAGATCTAGTTTCCACATATAAGAGAAAACATGGGTCATTTGTCTCTCTGAGCTTGGCTTATCTCACTTAACATGATTTGTTCTAGGTCCATCCATTTCCCTGCAAATGACATAATATTATTCTTTCTGATGGCTGTGTAAAATTCCATTGTGTATACTTTTTGGATCCACTCATCATCTATTGTAGGACATTTGGGCTATTTCCACATGTGCAAGTGTCTTTATGGTATTGTGACTTGTGATGTTCTAGGTAGATGCCCAGGAGTGGTATGGCTGGATCCTAGGGAAGATCTATGTTTAGTGTTTTTTGTTTGTTTGTTTGTTTTTATGGTCATGGGGCTTGAACTCAGGGCCTAGGGACTGTCCCTGAGGTTTTAGTGCTCAGGGGTTAGCATTCTACCATTTTGAGCCACAGCGCCAGTTCTGTTTTTCTGGTGGTTAATTGTAGATAAGAGTCTCACAGATTTTCCTGCCTGGGGTTGACTTCAAACTGTGCTCCTTAGATCTCAGACTCCTGAGTAACTAGGATTACAGGCATGAGCCACTGGCACCCAGCTATGTTTCTTTTGAGGAAATTAAGACTGCTGTCCAGAGTGGTTGTACTAGTTTACATTCCCAACAACTTTTCAATAGGGTTCCTTTTATCCCTTAACTTTTGTGCTCTTGGCTAGCACTCTACCACATGAGCCACAGCTCTACTTCCTGCTTGGATTTTTAAAAATTTAATAACAATTCTTAGAGTCATGCATAACAAAAATTTCTCACCTTTTAAGATATTCAATATCTTACCTCACTTAGCGTCCTATTCCTGTCAAAGGTGACAGTAACATAGTCAACTATAATATAGAAAGACACAGATATTATGAGCAACCCTGATATTTCTATGATTAGAAGGATAGTACTATGAAAACAGTTTCTATCAAAATGACTGGAAGCTATATGTCATCAAGTAATGTATATGAATACACCTTTTCTTTGTGGTTATTTGTGCCTATTATCTCAAATTTTAAAAACTTTCCCCTTATTTTTATACTATCGATTTATATAAAATATATTTGCTGTTATATTTTATCCTATTTTTGTTGCATACCATTTCTTTTTTTTATTCTGAAAATACTGTACAGAGGGGTTACAATTACGTGGGCAAGGTAATGAGTGCATTTCTTATCAAGCACTGTTGCTTCCTCCTTTGTTTCCTCTTCCCATCCCTTCCCATCTCCCCCCCCCTACCATTTCATTTAATGATATAGATTATGTATATTGACAAAAATTTGTTAATACTTCTTTAACTTCAAATTTACCTTCAAATGGTTCTCTATTAGCAAAACATCTTTCATTGTACCACAACTTTCCCTTGACATAGTCAACCTGTGTAAATAAGTAAATGAAAATATTATTTAGGGAACATGTAGATTTAAGATTTTTTTAAAGTATACTAAAAATTTCCAAAGTTTGGTAGCTCAAAGATGTAAGGCAAGACAGAAATTTGCATGTAAAGAAAATCAAAGGTGGAGCTCCAGTGGCGCAATCGGTTAGTGGCGCACTCGGTTAGCGCGCGGTACTTATAAGAAAATCAAAGGTTTATAACAACAAAAAACCCACATCCCTTCAAACCAAATATTATAGAAAGATGACAAGAGTCTAGAAGACAAGTTTTGAATAAGAGAATGCAGAGAGTAGAATTGTACATGAATGAACATGTCAATTGAAAAATGTCTCACTAATGAACTTTTTTTTTTTTTTGAGTCAGTTGTGGGGCTTGAACTCTGGGCCTGGGCGCTGTCCCTCAGCTCTTCAGCCCAAGGCTAGCGCTCTACACTTGAGCCATATGCCACTTCCAGTTTTCTGGTGGTTTATTGGAGATAAGAGTCTCACGGACTTTTCCTGCCTGGGCTCACTTTGAACCATGATCCTCAGATCTTAGCCTCCTGAGTAGCTATGATTACAGGTATGAGCCACTGGCGGTCCGGCATTAGTGAACTTTTTGAATTGATCAGAAGCCCCAAATTTGAGTTGGAAGGACTCCCTGGTGAAGCACTGGTGCAAGTCAGATCAAAAGCTGATGAACTTGCAGTCTGATGCCTATACAAAATGGAAGGAACAAGAAGCGCACCTGTTCAAGAAGGGCTAGCTCAGTATGGGCACCTTCACAAGCTTCTTTCCACTTTTTTGTTTCACCTGGTCTCTCAGCCCACTAGATGGAGCTATACACCTTCAAGGTGGATCATCCCCATTCTGTTGCCCTACATGCCAACTGTCTCTGGAAACATTATCAAAGGAAAATCCAGAAGTGTGTGTTAACCAATTTTGCAGCCATCTCTCAATCATGGCATGTTGACAACCAAGACCAAGCCCCATCTCTAATTTCAGATTCAGGATTTTTATTTATTTATTTATTTTTAGGATTTTTTTTTTTTTTGGTTGATCATGGGGCCTGAACTCTGGGCTTGGGCACTGTCCCTCAGCTCTTCAGCTCAATGCTAGCGCTCTACCACTTGAACCACAGCGCCACTTCCGGCTTTTTTCTTATGTGGTGCTGAGGAATCGAACCCAGGGCCTAGAGCATGCAAGGCAAGCGCTCTACCACTGAGCCAACTTCCCAGCCCCATGTTCTTGATACTCTTATCTCTAATTCATCATAGAAAAAGCTGGAAGTGGAGCTGTGGCTCAATTGGTAGAGCCCTTGACTTGAGCAAAAGGGAACTCAGGGACAATGCCCAGGCTCAGAGTTCAAGTCCCAGGACTAGCAAAAAAATTTTTTTTCCTGATAACTCTGTTCTTCACCTGTGTACCTTCTGGAGCTCTTTCCCAGAGGTTCAGCATTGTTCTTGTGGTTTCTAGCTACAGTCCCTAAATAGTTTCAGAAGTTTCCTTATCTTGGTCTTCCTTGGTGGTAATCTGTATCTAAACAGTAGTGATTCTGGCCTTCAATTTATTACATTTTTATTTGCTATTTTGGTATTTAGTCTAAGAAAACATTTTTCTGCTAAACTTGGAACTCTTATGGATGTTGGTTGTCTTTTTTTTCCTTGCTAATGTCACAGTGCCAATGACACTAACTACAGCAGGTGTTTATTACATCCTGACTGTGATGTTCACATACTGTGATTTTCTTACTAAATTTCATTGCTCCCATTCAGCTGTCTCCTGTTCTGTCAGCATTCTAGAACACATTCTGCCCCTAAGGAGCGTACTCTGTCAGGAAGCCCAGCTACCTTGGCCATGCTTTAAAGGGAAGGTTCAGGCATGGGTTTGGAGTAGCTCAAACTGTGGCAATGCTGAAAGGAAAGACAACCATGTGCTCTCCACCCCTGGAGGATGCCATTCCTTTCGCTCAGAACTCAAAGTCAGCCTTCTAGTGGACTTCTCTTCAGTCCTCCTCTCAGCCATACTGCAGAGGCTGAGAAACATCTCTGGTAGCTCCTGAGCTCTGCAAGCCCAGTGCGCTGCAGGATCCTCCACCTCTGGATCTTCTGCTGCCCTGAGCTGAAAAATGCCTTGTTCTCAATGTTGCTGGCCATTTTCTGTTGCTATAACACAACACCGGAAGCTGAGCAAGTAGTTGTTACTCGCTGTGCTGCCCTGGGAACAGTCACAAGACTATCATCTGTTTGTGTTCATTTCATGTGAATTTCTCCCCTAACATTTTTTATTCAAGTTGAATCTACAGATAAGAGGCTGAAGACAGAGAAGCCCACTATGTTGCTGTCAGTTCTTTTAAATATAAATCAGTTTTGCCTGTCTACTTTTCCCAGTTCTTCTGTTCACTTTTCTCCCACTAGCAGGACAGCCAGTCAGTTTCTAGGAAATATCTATTTCTGTGGACGAAAGCAAGGGAACAAGCCATACGCTACTCACAATTTTGTTTATAGTTTCCAAATCATGATAATGTGTTGATGGGAATCTTAGCTGAACTACAAAACTTAACTTTCAGTGACAGAAGAAGAAAATTTCTCCAAAATCTCCACCAGGGGGCAGAGATGTTGCTAGAGTGGAAGACATTTTTGTGTCTCTTTCTCCAAGTAGGCACAGATGAGTACCAGGGTAGGTAGGTTGGGAAGAAATTGACCACATTCCAGACACCACTCTACTTAGCTGGGTACCTTGTGCAGAACATGACTTGAACAACCATAACAGCCTGGACAAAATATATAGTAATGGACAAGGGTGGTTTCTGAAATGAGAATGAGCACCTTTTCCTTGAAACAGAACTGCCTGGTGTCGCTGGACACTATTTTTAGTTCAAATTGTAAACGATACTGCAGTAGCAGGAATAACCTGTATGAGAACTATTGTATTTACAGTTCATCATATCTCCATCAGGCTTGAACTCAAGCTCTGTAATATTGTCCATTTCCTTTTTCACTCAAGGCTGGTGCTGACCACTTGAGCCACAGCTCCATTTTTTTTTTTTTTTTACTTTTTGGTGATTAATTGGAGATAAAGTCTCATGTACTTTTATGCCCAGGATGGCTTCAAACCAGATCCTCAGATCTCAGACTCCTGAGTAGCTAGGATTACATGTATGAGCTACCATTGCCTGGCTGTATACATATCTTTCAACCAACACTTGAAAATGAAAAGCTTCTTACCCTTTCAAAGCCACAAAAGTCTGCCCTAAAGAGCTAGAAGGGGGGAAAAAAGAAATTTAAACTGTTGCTTGCATATTGTATATAAAAAACATAACAATTTGAATTATACCTGAGAAAATGTAGTTTTTCTATTCTAGCAGTTAAGATGATCAAACCTTAAAGACAGCCTTTTACACAATTTACACAATATCCAGAAGATTTCCCTTTTAGTCTTTGATTTTATCATTTTACCAATTTATTTATACTTTATGAAATTCCAGAAAAGATCAAGATTAAAAAAGAAGCAAAAACATGCTTTTTTTTTTCATATTGTAGAGGTTGGGATGGACCCAGGGCCTTGTGGAAAGCCTTATCTTTTAATGGTTTAAAGGGAGGAGTTAAGAGGCATGCAGGGAGACAGTGAGTCTGCCACCAACTTTGGTTTATAACTTTAACATTTATTATTTTCTCTCCCCATCTGGTTTCTTCTTCCAAGCCTACAGCAGTCAGAATTCAAGACTCAGGACTTAAGCCCTGTCTAACTCAGTGCCTTCAACTGAAGCCACAGTGGCTGTTCTTTCATCTTCAACTCACTGTTTTACCAGGCTAGATCTATTATCTAAGCAATTAATGGCAGGTCTTCAGAGAGGCTATGAATATTTATACACCTGAATAAAGACAATAGTACTCTGTGTATAAATAATATCTGCTTCTCAATCAGTATACTTGCCTCTGCTTTATTTCCTGTTAGCTTTCCTCTGCTCCTGAATTTTGATTCCTTGTCTTTTATCTGTTGTGATAATTTTGAGGGAGGTATTTATCAACATGTTTAAGAATTCCATTGTATCGGATACCTTTTTTTTTTTTGGTCTTTTCTTTTTCTGTATTAGGAACTGAACCCAGGACATTGCAATTGCTAGGCAAACTCTTTGCCACTGAGCTACATCCCAGCGATTGCATAGTTTTATCTAAACACATTATGTGCTTTTCAATCTCAACAACTTATATTTTATTTCCTACAGTCTCCTGCCTGAGAAATCTCACTAGTCTTCTCTGAGGATATGCCCTGTAGAACAGACTCATCTTCATTTTTCCTTAAAATTTCCTAATTTCTGAAATTTCCTAAAATTTCTTGGCAGGACAATTTTGAGTTGTCCTACACAGAGGTTCCCAGCAGAAGGGAGCCCCAGATGGCTGCAGGCATTTTGTGGTTATTGTTCTAACTTTACTTGACATATAGTAATTGTACATGTGTATGGGGTTTAGCATGCTACTTCAATATTTGTATTCAAGGTATAAGGATCCTCTCAGGGTAACTGGCAAATCTCAGAGAACGCTTACTTTTAATAAATTTAGTGTTATAAATTATGTTATAGCCTCTGAGGCACATATAGAGCTATAAAGAAATAAACTAGGCCCTGATGGCTCACGCCTATAATCCTAGCTACTCAGGAGGCTGAGATCTGAGGATTGTAGTTCAAAGCCAGGAAACTCAGACTCTTATTTCCAATTGATCATCAAAAAGCTGAAAGTGGAGGTTTTGTTCAAAGAGGAGAGCATCAGCCTTGGGCAAAAATGCCAAGCAAGTGTGTAAGGCTCTGAGTTCAAGCCCCAGTACTGGAAAAAGGAAAAAAAATAGATAACATCTTTTCTACATATATTTAAATCTTACTATAAGTGCATACAGAAATAAAACTAACACCATTTCAAAATTGTGCATTCAATATTATGAAGGAAAGGGAAAAGTAGCTATACTATGCTTTTACATTTTTTATTTTTTGTCAGTTATGGGGCTTAATTCTGGGCTTGGGTGCTATCCCTTAGCTCTTCAGCTCAAGGCTAGTGCTCTACCACTTGAACCACAGCACCACTTCTGGTTTTCTGGTGATTAATTGAAGATAAGAGTCTCACAGACTTTCCTGTCCTGGCTGGCTTTGAACTGTGAGCCTCAGATCTCAGCCACCTGAGTAGCTATGAGTACAGACATGAGTCACCAGCTCCTGGCTGCTTTTACATTTTTTTTTTTTTTTTGTCGGTCATGGGGCTTGAACTCTGGGCCTGGGCACTGTCCCTCAGCTCTTCAGCTCAAGGCGAGCGCTCTACCACTTGAGCTACAGCGCC